AGAGAGAGAGAGAGAGAGAGAGAGAGAGAGAGAGAGAGAGAGAGAGAGAGAGAGAGGAGGGAATGGAATGGAATGGAATGGAATGAAATGGTATGGTATGGAATGGAAAGGCAGTCAGGTTAGTGAGAGGGTAGAGACGAGGCAAGGCAAGCGATTTAGCTAGTGCTGGTTCGCGGCAAGCCACGCGAGTCGGAGCGCCGAGAGAGCAGCCGAGGTCCCGTTGATCGTGCCTGCCTGCCTGCCTGCCTGCCTGCCTGCACCGGGAGAGGCGTCATGAAAGCGCGCCAGTTGACCAAGTACACCTCTCGTCGGACGAAACCTCGTATTTCCCATTGTTGATTCTACGTAGCCTTTCGTCTTTTCCTTTCGTGGCGAGGGTTCGAACCGTGCGTCTCCTGTTCGTGGCTGTCATTTTTCCTTCGAATTGGACAAACTACTTAATTACTCGTACTATTTCGATGATCCTTTCGAGTGATGTGTGTTGGTTTCTTTTCCATGGATTGATAACGGATGTGCTGGTGCCTTTTACGTGACGCTCGTGCGGTGAACTAGGACATCGAGTGCATACGAAGAAGAGAAAACACAGCCGTTCGATGAAACGGCTAGTCGGATAAAGCAAATGTTATATCGTTGAACGGTTTGTTCGATTCTTCGGACGAATCTTACGGTACTCGTCTAGATACTATACTACATACATATACTTATTTATGTGCAGACGACTACATTTGGGAATCCATTCGACCAACAGAGCGATGATAAAAAGTGAAAACTGATCAAAGATTGTAGTTTCCGACGCACTGTGGACTTGTCTGGGCGTTGACCACACTACGAACATTATTATTTTATTTCGTGAGTTGTACAGTATATCGTATATCACGTTGACGTGAACCGTCGGCGCGGCGTCGGCGTCGGCGTCGACGTTCCATGTTCGATGTTCGATGTTTGATCAGCAGCACGCTTTGGCTGGAAATTTGGATAATTAATAGGTATCGAGAGCGAGGAATAGACGATGGAAGGGATGAAAAGAAAATTTGTATAAACAATCGATTTATCGTAAATCCACGACAACGATACACCGTGTATCTCGTATACCGTTTTTTCTAAATACCGAGGAACCAGATGACGAAGGGAACGAGGTCACGTAGAACTGATTCGATGCTCGATTCGAATTCTTCTCGCATCCCGTGACGTTTGTCGTTCGCATATTTAAACATCGAGGCATATCGTTGTAGACATCGATCGAAGAATAAATACAAAAGGAGATTCGCTACGACATTCCATTTATCTCTAGAATATAATATTCGGAGAGTGCAAGATAAAGGGAAATTTCAATAGAAAATGTTTAATAATTCGATAAAAGTTTGATTACGTTAGATAAGTGCTAAGCAGAATTGAAACGTCGAGGATTAGCGGACGAGTTCGCGATTAATAGCAGTGGTATTTTTGATTTTGTTTCGCTTGGTTCGTCAGCTTGTCTCGTCGTCAAAGAGTGGCATCCATCCCTCCGGTCTGTTATTCGATTTCGCGCATCAAAGTGCTCCGACTCCGAACGAGTAGAAACAGAAACACAGCAACCAGGAGGAAAATCTTATTCAGTGGCAACTATTGTTTTATACCGCGTTTCAGATTCAACGGCGCGGCGAACAGAGCCCAGCGTGGAACAGAGACGAAAATAACGGTGTGCGAGCTCGAACCGTTATCGATCGTTTTCCGTTGATCGTCGACGAATGAGATTATCCATGGTGTTGTCGATAATCCATCGCATTGGTTTTTCGTGTCGCTATTGAGCTGTCTCTGCTGCGCTTTGACATTAAATTTCGCTCCTTGACGATATCTGTATGGGAAATGAAACGAGAAAGAAGAACGAGTTTTGTGATCGTCCAACAAACGAGCTGAACGCTTCTTGCTAAAATGACAGAAGGAGGAACTGGAAGGCTGACGAACGATAGAACGAGGAAAAAGGAGTGAGTTGTCGTAATTCGCTCCGGTCTCGTGTTATTTGCGGCGGGAAAATTGCTCGAAAGGAAGAGGTTTCGACGCGGGAACCAACCGAGGCCGACCAGGAAGAGAACTTGAACGTAACGTGGTCGTTCGGTGGCACGGTGACACGTGGGCATCGTGCGCCGTTTATAACATTCCTTCGAGTATAGTATAGTATAGTATAGTATACTATAGTAAAGTATCCGCAGAGGGGATTCGTTAGAAAAAGACCAAGTGTTCCGGTTAACCAAACTTGAGTCAGCTTGTCGATGGATATGGCAGCTGTCGTTTTCTCGGCTCTTCTTACTCGGTTCCATCGTACTCGCCACTGTCACTATCGACATCGTCGTGGTACTTGTCAATTGGGCGAACAGGTGTTGTCCAGGCAAGGTGTCCAGGTCGGACTACGTGATTTCTCGTGATAGCAGGCACGAGGCTCGAACGAAGGGAGTTCCAGTGACGTCGATCGATCGAGAGACAACCAGCAGCAGCCAGCAGCAGCAGCAGCAGCAGCAGCGGCGGCGGCGGCAGCGGCAGCGGCAGCGGCAGCGTACCTCGCGCTCATTCTTAGCGACCGAAAGTGTTTGCCGGCGAGGTGCGGTGGTGCGCGCTTTATACACGTTACATGGTGAGCCTCGGTGAATCGGTCAGCGTGGACAAGTAGGCCAGAAAAGAAGAGGCAACCGGCGAATATAGAAGGATATCATTTCTTGCGTCGCGTCGTTTACTCTTCATGATTTCGTTAAGGATGAAGAGCGAGGTTATCGATTCCTCGCGGCCGATATCAAGGTTTTGCGGCACTCTTCTTCTACTCCTGACACTCCTTGCAGAGGTGAGTCGAAACGGTGGTGGATAATGGTATGAATCTAGGACGTGTTGCTGGAATGTCTTTCCGCGACAGTCTACATACCTATGTACATATATACGATACATACATGTGCGAGAGCGTGACACTCGAGACGCGGTGTCTGTGATTACCTTCGCTTTGCCGTCTAACGTTTTGCTCTGTTTCACCGCTGGCTGGAAAGTCTTGGGCTAATCGATCTTTTCCAATTTTCATAAAACGTTACTTTTTAAACATTTTTCTATATACGAGTACTACGTACGAATTCGTCTACCGTTCGAAGCTGAAGAAACGTATCACGTGTTACGTGTTACGTGTTACGTGTTACATCTTACGTCTTATATCAAACTTTACTCTTTTACTAAAACAATACATAGATGAAGTTATTAAAGAATACGTAATATTGCCGTCGATGTGTTTTGATACTTTTTCAAATAATCTCCTGTATGTGTAAAAATTACTGTAAATTGGAGTCGAATCGTGCCCGAAGACGCGATCAGCGAGCGGTGAAGGGGAACTCTGTCGATATCTAGAATGCTTTGCTTGGCTGATTTGTGTCTCCGAGTTGCGAAACTCGCCTGACTTTCTCAACTGTCGAGAACGATGCCTTCTCCTCGTCCTCGTACGCTGCGATGCCCATTGACCTCTGAGTTCGCGGTCCAACGAACGACCAGCAACACACTTTTGCTATCTAAATCATCATTTAACAGTTGCATCGCACGTCCGAGACACGATGGTTCTCGTAAAACAAAACGTTCCCTTCGCAGAAATGACTGATTTCGACATTGATATCATTATCTAGCGAATTTCGTTCGATAGTTTCTCTACCCACGACAAATAAGCTCAAGTATTGTATCCACAAACCATATAGATGATTTTAACGTTAGGTATCATAAAAGTGCTGTAACGATTCATCATTGCATCTTTATATGACTAAATTCCGTGCGCAGATACTGCGCAAAAGGCTGACTTCCTTGTTGCGTTTAGCGTGACACAAATGTCCGTAATATTATATTTTTGATACCGTATCGAATGTACGAGGAGAAAGGCTTACTGTTTACATGCTTTTTTTCAATTGGTCGTGTTGCACAGTGAAATTGTACCTGAAAACTAAAATCCTGTACAGCTGTTTAGGTTTTAGCTAATCGTTTCTCATTTTTCCCAATCGTCTCTCAACCTCGTTTCCTGTTACGAAAGGTACACTACGAGAAGGAGGTTAGTTCCAACTAACAGCAAACACGTTGTTACGGATGTCCACTCTTGTGTAATATTATCTACTTTTAGTAGATCTTGATTCTCGTCGTTCTTGTTTCTTATTGTTTGTTATTCGAATGGAACCCGAGTACAAAACCTATCTATACGCGATAATTGATGTTGAGCGTAAAGAAAAAATGTTATTGTGAAAATTGATCGCAGACAAGGTGCGAAGCATTAAAATTAAAAGGAAATGCAAATGGCGCCGCGATGTTCTACCTTCCATACCGAGAGCACCCGCCGACCCGCAGCTCAACAGTTTCATTCTACTGCTAGCTGTAGCTACCTGTCGAAGTAAGCGGTGTTTCACGCGTGCTAGCGTGCGAATTCTTCGTAGTATTTTCATTAGATATGGCGGGACGAGAGAAAGCCGTGACATTATTGGCCCAGAATTTGGGGCTCATGACCGCATGCTAAATTAAGCACTTACTACGGACTACGGGTACCCTGTTGTTCGTCGAATAGATCGCAAATAACTAGTGTTGTCGACTTTAAGCTGTGCGTTACGTTACCCTTACGGTACGTTACGTGCGTTGCAGAGTGGTCGTTTCATTGGTTAACGTCCCGCGAAAACCCTATCGCAACAGCATCTCGCGACCAAGGGTTTTCCACTATAGCGACCCTAACCCCTTCGTAAATCTGTAGATTGTCGACTTCTTATTGGAATAAAAATAGACGACAACACAATTTACGCTTTCATAGGGAGAATTCGATTTACCATGAACGTGATCAATTTGAATATTATTGGAAACAGTTGAGTGGACTTTGGATTTCGTTCGTTTACGGAGTAGACGAAAATTATTGATAATACACATACCTAGATCGATGAATTTGCAATTATTTGTTCAAGGTCTAATTTAACTCGTGCGTATAGTCGGTGCACAACAGATGGAGATATGTACTCGTACCTTTGTTTATGTCTGGGAATCGTACGATTAATTCGTTGATTCAATTTATTACTTTAATCAACGTTAAGTATTAAATACACGTGTTCGAGTATCGATAGATGAATATTGTGATTTATTATAGCTTCGCATGCGACTGACCTGCCCGTTCAGAGTCATGACGATATGGACACCGATATCGCGAGTATGACGAGTACGTATATGACAAGCAATCACTTGGCATTTAGCGTAACGACAGTGCACGTAGGCTGACGCTATACGTCCATTGTTTCGCGTGCTGCGAAAAAATTAGCAAGCGACCGCAACGGTGACCTAGAAATTTACGCGAGTATACACTCGAAGCTTATTTATCGTATAAACTAAAGTATAAGGGATAAATTCTGCAATCTAGGCATTCTATTTAATCGATGAATCGTAATGTTTCACTTGAGATAACATACATATTTCATACTTTGACCAACTATTCGATATGTTTTTTATTCGACATAAAATTCGAAAGTGATGTGTACTCGTTCGAGGAGGGATGCTAATTCAGAATCGAGAGCTGAAAAACGTGAAAATTTCGTCTCTCCAAGAGTAAGTAGGTATGTACTACTCCGTGGTTGAGTTGAGTTCAATATACGCCGTGATCGGACAAGGGCAAGTGCAGAACTCGCACGTGGTTGTCTGCCGTTTGTCACTCGATTTCGCTCCGGAGTCCGGAGTCCAGTGTCCGGAGTCCAGAGTTCGGGTATACTCGCATCCGGTTGTGAGCTTGGAGTACATCCTGGCCTAGCCAGGGAGGATGCCCATGCTGCGCGGTCGGTGCGTGCGCGCCACGAAAATAGAGCAGATGGATGAAATAAATCAACGTGGCACATACACGGTACATACGCGACGTAAATAAAATACGAAAAAATCGTTTGCTTGGTATCGTATTCTATTCCATGTATTACTATTAAACCCGCGATGAAGAAAATTCTAATCGTCTTCTCAGAAATGCATACACCGTGACCTTTAACGCTAGTCGTATCCGCATCCTAGCGAACATTGCGTCGATTGGTTCGTTTCGTATACATACGATATCATCTGTTGTACCTAACGCTACATACGTACACCTATACAAGTGCACTGGTGGCCAGAGTAATTTCACAATTCTTTGGAAATACCGTTTGTCAAATATATGATAAGTAATACACATCGCAAACTCGGCTCGCTTAAATGCGGATGCGTAATATACATTCGCGAAAAAAGGAACAGTAAAAAGTAAAAACATGACGTTTGCTCGGAGAATCCAGTCTGGCGCGCGCGCGCACACACACACGCACACACACACGCACACACACTTGTTTCACTTGCAATGACGTCATAATTCTAACATCCTTTTTGATCCACGTGGTGCATACGCTTGCATCATTTATATTTTTGTCTTTCGCGATTTAATCTATCCTTGTGTTGTCGGATATCGCGCAAGTTCGAGGAACAAAGGAAGTTAGTCGGCTTCGTGTCTGGGAATATTCTCAGGAAATGCGAATTTTTCGGAATTAATCTTTGATACGAATAATAACACGAGACCAGAATTGCACAACATTCGCTTCGAATAGTTGGATGAAAGAGGAGAGAAAGTTGCAAACGAATAAAGAAACGCACGGTAAATAATTCTTATCGCGTCTCGATTGCTTCACCGAAAATGAAAATAAAGTCCTATATGTATATGAATATACATGGTGTCTGAAAATACGAAAGCCATAGAGGGGTTTGATCATGGATGTTTTTGTGAAAATACCGATGCAGCAGTAGACGTGAGACAAGGTGAGACAACGACAAATTTAATTTTATAATAATCGAGTTAATTCGATTAACCCAGTGTATAGGTAGAATTGTTTCGAAATGAATTCTCTTTTGAGAATTTATTCACGTCTCGAAAAAGAAATGGCGTTCCGCTAAACTGCGCCTGACGCGTAGAAAACGACCATATTGTGAAAGTCGGTGCAACAGAGTGCTTGTACAGCCGCTAAATAGTCGCGCGTGAAATGTTTCAGCGTGACGAACAAGAGGATCGATACGAATGTGTCGAGTACAAAGTGGATACCTAACCCAGACCTAACCCAGACCTAGGTATACATATACTTTGGTGCAAATAACGAATATTCGACGTTCGTGACGTTCGTGTAAATTAAAAGCAGCTTCCGACTAGTGGCAGTTGGCAGAAGAATCGTTTCCACCGCCCGCGCCAACGTCGTCGCTCCTCTCTCCAGTTGCGGTTAAGTCTCTCCGCAAAGTTCCGTTACGTTATTCGCGATGGTGCAAGTCCCACTAACAATAAAATCACTTACACTCCACGACCAAACGACACCACGACACCACGGTCCTTGTAATTTTCATTTAATTTCATTTTCAATCAAAGTCGTTTAAACAGCTTATTATATTATAGGTCTGTTATTATTAAAACAATGAATATAAATGTAGTACAACTTTTAATTGTAATAAATATGTGGAATAAATGATACGAATTGTCGTTTCAAAATCAATTAACTCGGCTGCGTTGTTACAAATGATTGTAAATGTCTGCGATTCAGGAGTTGCACAGCCAACGCAACGACACGATTGCGTAAATCTTAATTACGCAAAGTTAAATGGTGTGGGACCGTGTGCATTCGTTTGTTGGACAAAAAGGAATGCTTAGCTCGTACATTTCTCGCCTGAACGTGTCGAAAAACTATCCGATTCGGCGCTACGTTGCTCTTTTCCGCTTAATTGTGTCACGTTTTCTGTTTTTCACTCGAAACTTTGGTTTCGCATTCGAGGGACATCGAATTTACTTGTTACTTTTAAACGGAAAACAAATGAAAGATTCCTTGATTGAACGACGTATGTAAAATGGAAAATATTTAACAATTTTTTGAGATTTTCATTCCGTTGAAATGTTACGTATTGGAAAGTAGTTTACTCGAAGAAAGTAGTTGGTTTCTCTCTAATAGATGAACACCGATGAACGCCGAGTTCTCGTAACGTTTGCCAATTGTTTTACTTCTTGCTCTTTTCTTGCGCCGCTAAAATCGATCAACGACTTGAAACACGAAACACGCCTTTACGAGGTTTAAATACTTGTGTGTAAATACTGGTATAATACATTTTCCTCTTTTTTCGCGAGTATTCGTTCGTTGCATAAAACGTCAGATTACACAAGTCAGAAGAAACGTATCGAGCATCTGGTAAACAGGAAGTTGGATCGTTAAGCGCATGCAGATTTTATCCAACAATTACTGGTTGGATTCGACTCTTGTCAGGATATTGCATCGTCGGATAACACCGCTGCGTGCAACAGTGATTTTTGCTGCAAGTTTCCCGAACCATCTCTGACATGATAAATCGATCGAAGTTGTTGGTGTTTTGTTCAATGAAAATCATATTTTGCTGTAGAATGTGTGATGTGTGAATGTGACAATTAGTTCGCAACGTTTATCAACTAATAGTACTGCGACTAGTTCTGTCAGTCAGAGGACGCGTCCGGCATACATATATTACGTATACATATACGATATGTAGTAATATGTAACTGATTAATGGTAGACAAACGATGGCGAATGTTATTATTGCACGAACGCGTCACTTCCTGCCTGGGGGAATCGCGTAAGTTGAAAGGAAATGTCACACGTTTTAGTCGCATGCTTGTAATCGAAAGGTGCAAGTGCAAGCAGCTTTGTCTGCTCTCACTCAATGTCAGAGCACCCTTTCTTTTTCCCTCATCGAGGATTCACATTGACATTGTGACAAATTGAAATTTTAAATAACCGATCTGTACACCTATGCCTTAGCAGTTATTAGCAAACGTTTTCTTACAATGATTGATTAGACCCCGCGTCTTGATAAATTCTCGACTTATAATACTCGATGGTCTGGTGTTACTTTTCATTCGCGCTTTAGAGTTTCAAGGATTTTCATCGTATGGAAGAGATGCTACTACGTACGAGTACCGCTTTGTATAGTTGCTTTTCGCTGTTGTATGAGTCAAGCATGATAGCGATGTGGTATGTGCATACGACCGCGTTTATATGCAGTTCCGAATCGATATACATACATAGAGCCGCTCGAGTATAACCGCGTGTAAGAGCCTATTGTATTACGTCATATGACTTGATGCACGGAAAATGTTCTGAACGTGTGTTTTTTCATGTTATGTTACAATAATAACGTGCAGCCCGGTCGTGTTTGAAATGTCGTCGACATTTCATCGTGCTGGAGTTGCAGTTAATCGATCCTTGAAATTAGTATCGAAATGATTATTATTATTATAGTAGACTGCGAGCGCGTACTATGTTTATTGCGTAAAGTAGAAATGTGACATTTCTCGACAACGCGATGTTGTGCGTCTAGATCACGAGGACGTAATCAATGGCAGGGAGGCATAAACCTTTGCGGTATTTATAGTGCACTATAATCCTCGGAATTCGATCAATTATACAGGAGATTTCTGTTTAGCCGAGGTTGTCAAACCGCGTGTTGACTCACAAATAGCATTCATCCAGTACAATACGAGTCATTGAACGTATCTTATTACATTTGATCAGAATCCGGTTAATCCAACTCCAGTTGATACAACTTTTCAATTATGTTTCATTTTTTCCGGTTTACCGGACAGAAGAAAAGAAGATTATTTTACGCGGAAAACAAAGCCGATAATGTAGAAGAATATACAACTTTTATTATAAATTTTTGTTTCGTATTATACCATACATATAAATGTAAAGCAAAACAAGGCACGATGTACGAAATCGACTAATTGTAACGTAGATGTGTATCGATTAATTTCGATGTAAAATTTATTTACCGTTAACTAGCACATTTTAGTTTATCGTGTTTCAACGAATTTTCATCCGACTACATTTCTTGTATTCGGTTCAACGAGCACGTGAAAGTTGTTCGTTTAAACGCCATTTCAGCCGCGTCTCGCCTCGCCTCGTCCGTCGTGCTTTCTATTTAATCTCTTATTTACTTTTATCTTCGTACACGTATCTCTATCCTTAATTCCTTATACTTGCATAATAAACACGCTAAATAAGGAATGTAAAAAAGCGCGTTTCGCGCGATGAACGTATCATTGTTAAATACCAATTATTATTATATTGTTCCGTAAATCGTCAACATTATGTATTATTAAAAATCTTTAATAGCGCATGCTAATTGTTCGATTCGTTATTACATCGTACAGTCCTTGATCAACAAGAAACTCTTATGTAATCATAAACGTTCAATTCAAAGAAATCGTATAACAATGTAACATTTTACTGAACCTAGTAAATAATATGAATACATATACCTAATTTATAGATATCTACAAATCTGAACGTCTCGTTAAATACGAATGTAGGAAAGAAACGTGTACGAGACGACATGCTAGAGTTTACGTAACGAAGGGGGAAAAATGTCTTTACCTGTGCTCGTGCTCGTTACTTGGCGCGTTGTCGTTGGTAAGGTAGGTAGGTAATATTAAAAATGAAAAGGAATAAGATTTCAACTATTACAAATAACAAGTTTCTATACAAAAGAATGTCTGAGAATGTTTTGCTGTGCAACAATGTTGCCAGTTTGTTTTTATTACATTTTTACGCTCATTTCATGCGCTAAAGCAAATATCATACGTTAATCAAACACCCTGTATACAACGGTTGCTAATGATTTGAGCGATTGCAACAACTTTAATCGATATTTGAAAAGAAAAGAAAGATGATAGTGTAATTGGAATTTCTTTCACTGGTTTGGGAAACGGCACAGTGTGTTGGTTGGATTATGGTAAGGGCCTTACTAAGGGAACAGAGTATCGTAAACGTTTCAAAAACGAGCACGGTTCGCTCTGTTTTTTAACCGTTCGGAATCCTTGAGTTGAATCCCCCTCTCGGCGTCTGGTTTCTACGGCAGCAGCAGCAGCCCGCCGCCCGCCGCGCCGTGCCGCCGTCTTAACAGCATCTCTAACCCCTCTGCCTCCTGCCTCCCTAACCGATCACCAGGCTACAGCTATTCTGCTCTTCTTTGTATAATTAGGTGTCTCTCTGTTCTCTCTCGTCGTTGTCGTCGTCGGCGTCGGCGTCGTCGTCGGCGTCGGCGTCGGCGTCGGCGTCGGCATTGGCGTTGGTGGCTGTAGGGTTGCGACGTAAACACCAGATGGAAAGAGCCGCTACAGAAAAGAGAGTGCGCGAGTTTCGAACTTGTGGAAGGAAGATAGCGAAGGGTGGAGGGATCGATATGTGCACCTCATCGTCGCGACCGAATGTAATAGGAAAAGCAGATTCAATGTTTCACGAGCATACGGAGAGGAACTCGGAAAAATCTTTGCGAATGGAAAAAGTTGGACATTTTTGCCGCGTTAAAATCAAAGGGCGGGACGGATGGGTGGTGGTGATACTTCTGAAAGAACGAGCGATAGCGCTGAATGGTTCATAAAATCACATTTCCACCAACGAAATCGAAGAGTATCGATATACCCTTAAATGTGAATGCTTTCGAACCAATGACTCGGAAATTGCGTGAAACGGTAGGTTTCGCGATGAGATAGCTCGGGGCTTGAAGAAGCAAATCTTAAAGAGCACCGTTTCGGAATATGTATAGTGTGTAGTATGTAGTGGGCGGTATAACCCACAAAGGAGAGAACAGGAGATGATATACGTATCCATTTAAATATACATATGTACATGTACACCTATACGGTATACTACGTTATAGCCTATAGTATTATGTACGGGTGAATAACGGCATTATAGATTTGCGGCGCGCCTCTTTCCCACGTCTGCGTTTGTCTCATAACGCTTCCGGCATACCGTGTCAACGTAGTGCGCGTCTAAACATCATTCCATCCGAATTTACAGCTATAAATATCGTAGGCCATGATATCGTCGTGAGACGATATTTAAATACGATGGAAGAATTGCATTGGCATTCCTCGAATTAGCCTTTGTCGATAGCAAAACGACAAAAAGAGTTTTCTTCTGCTTTTCGCTTGCTAATTAGAATATCGTAATACAATGTATACAATTTAAGATTCAATTCGAAACAATTGTATTGTCACGTGTTCAATAATTTCGGTGTTGCCATTAGCGGTAATTTACCTTACACGTGCGTTATCGTACGCGTTATGTAATGTACTCGTACATATGTATACACAGTGTACGACAAGTTGGAAGGAAAAAACAAACTTGTACGGACTCGTACTGGTCTCCATAGTGTTTGTATAGTCGGAAATAATTGTCTAAAGCATTGAAATTGTTGTTGATTAGGTGACATATTCGGCCGATCTGGCAATCGAAATACCAGGAAATCTAAGCCAGGGCGGTTCTTGGTATCGTTTGGATTACAGTCCTAACGTTGGTCACCCGCTACCGAATACTACCATAGCCGCCACCGACATTGGAGATGTCATCAAGTTCAGAGATGGTCTTCCTGGAACTAGATACGAATTTTGGTTGTATTACAGCAATAGCACTCTTCACGATTGGCTTACGTGGACGGCCTCGATAATTACAGGTGCGTAGAGAAAAACGCTGGTAACTGGTAGGTTCGCTTATATGTATAGGGCTTTATGCAGGGTGTCCCAAAACTCGGGGAGGAGCCGGAAATGGGGAGTAGCTGAGACGATTCTGAACAACAATTTCCTTTGCAAAAATGTCGGATGGGGCTTCGTTAAGGAGATATTAAGCGAAAACCAAGATCAATCAGAGCGCGCGTAGACCGTTGGAGCGGCCGCGGTAGTGTAGGCTACGCGCTGGTGGCCGCGCTTGCACGCGAACAAGTGACTCGACATGCATCGAAGCATCAACCTAGCGCGTAGCTCCTCCCCGAGTTTTGGGACACCCTGTATATTCTTTACAATTCTTTCAAATTATTATTATTGTAATCGATGGTATTATTACTTGCACGTTCATTACCCCGTACCCCTTGGCTTTCGTCAGCCGATGATATTTTAATAGCGAGTGGAACGCAATTCATTTTTCAGCACCGGATCCTCCCTCGAACCTTACCGTCTCTGTGCGAAATGGAAAGACTGCGGTAGTCTATTGGGCGCCGCCAGCCCAGGGCAATTATTCTGGTTTCCGGTTGAGGGTGCAAAGTTTCAGCGACACCGGAAATCCAAAAACAAGCGTCATTCCCGCGGATGCAGTTCCTTACGTGCTGCGCGATCTCATCCCAGGGGCAACGTATTCGCTTCAACTTTTCACCGTATTAGACACCAAAGAAAGCGTGGCTTACACCAGCAGAAACTTCACCACGAGTGAGTGATTTGTTACTCTTTGAATGTTGAAAATTGAAGGTATATAAATTAAGGGTTAAATGAAGGTGTTCATGTATACGTTATACGCGAAAGTGACAATGTTATTGAATTTTTTGCAGAACCCAATACTCCTGGCAAATTTATCGTATGGTTTAGAAATGAAACAACCTTATTGGTCCTTTGGCAACCACCCTATCCTGCTGGGATTTACACCCATTATAAAGTCAGTATAGATCCTGCCGATGCCATAGAATCCGTTCTTTACGTGGAAAAGGAAGGCGAACCCCCGGGGCCAGCGCAGGCTGCTTTCAAAGGACTCGTTCCTGGTAAGCTATTTAATAAACGATCAAAATCAACGATATAATCGACGATTAAAGAAATAATATAGGTGTATTATGTACATCTTGTTGAAAGAAAATTAAAGTAGTAGTCTGCTTTGAATAAATTCTGAATTTATTCATTCAGGATACGCGTTATCAGTTTATCGTTATCGATGATCGTTGACGTTCGACCAATCTGTTGCAGGCAGAGCTTACAATATTTCCGTGCAAACGGTATCGGAGGACGAGACTTCAGCTCCTACAACGGCACAATATCGAACGGTGCCATTGCGTCCACTGAATGTAACATTCGACAAGTCTTCGATAACATCGACTTCCTTCCGCGTCTTTTGGAATCCTCCCGAAGGAATGTCTGAATTCGACAAGTATCAAATATCTTTAGGTGGCAACCGAAGACTAGCGCCGGTTACCAGAAATCGGGACGACGAGAGTAAATGGGAATTCAAGGATTTGGAACCGGGGAAAACCTATCAAGTCGTCGTGAAGACAGTGTCGGGCAAAGTTACCAGTTGGCCAGCGAGCGGAGACGTTACTTTGAGTGAGCGTTTAGTTTTTCTTTTCTTTCGTTTCGTGTTCGTTACGAGTTACGAGTTACGAGTTACGAGTTACGAGTTACGAGTTACGAGCAGCTAATAATATACATACGAGTATATTGTAATAGTTTGTAAGTAAAAAAGTTTGAAAATTGTCAATTGTTTTCACGTTGTTATGTCAGAACCGTTACCGATACGCGATCTTCGCGCTGTCGTTGACGAGAAAACTGGGATGGTCGAGGTTTCTTGGCTTCCCGAAAATTCCAGCACTCAGGACAATTACAAGCTGCAGTATCACGAAGTTGAAACAACGATCGGCGGTGACAGCAACACATTATCAACAGAGAAGACCAAAGTAAGCGCATTCCGTCATTGATTGTGGCGCAACTGATGCATGGCATGTATCTACATGTAAATGACTACTTTATTCTTTTGTCAGGTCACTCTAGAAGCTTTGTTGCCAGGCAGAAATTATTCGATAATCGTGCAAGCAATTAGCAATAAACTCGAATCGAATGAAACTGTTTTGTACCAAGTTACCCGGCCATCGAGTCCGATAATCGAGGATTTGAAGCCCATCGAGATGGGATTGAACATCTCGTGGAAAAGTGATGTAAACTCGAGACAAGAAAAATTTGAGGTAACGCACAACAGAAACGACACTGGAGAGAGCGCGACAACTTTGACAACAGAGTCTCACATCGTTTTGGAAGACCTCTATCCTGGCGCAGCGTACGAAGTGAAAGTTTTCGCCATTAGCCATGGCTTAAGAAGCGAACCACACGATTATTTCCAAGCAGTTTGTAAGTAATCCTGATGTAGTAATTGTACGAATACTAGGTTCGATGGATTTCCATTAAAAGTCTCATACATATTAAATTTATATTGTATTACGGAAGAAAGTAATTTTAATTTAATTTAATTAGAAAAATGTATATTATAAGGATAAGCCAGCGATAGTTTATGGGATACCGTGTACATACACACCTATTATAGCAGAAGCAAGGAACATAAAGTTGAAAAGGTTTAGGGGTTGCTGGTAACGATACGTGTACCTATCTGATTGAAATCTATGAAAATGTCGGATTTCAGTACCTCATCCGCCGAAAAATTTAAGCATCGAAAGGGTAACGAGCAACACTGTAGTTGTTCAGTGGGAAGCGCCGACGGATTCGTTGTATTCAGAATTTTCGATTAGGTATCGAACAGAAGATGACCCAAGATGGGTAAAATTGCCCAGTGTCCGAGAAACGGAAGCGGAAGTAGCAGATATGACGCCAGGGGAGAAATATACGATTCAAGTGAACACCGTGAGTTATGGAGTCGAAAGTCTTTCTCCGCTCCAAGTGAACCATACAGTTCGTAAGTAAACGGAAGACGTTTACGATGCGTCTACATTTGCAGTCTGATAGAGTACCAAGTACTATACTATCATATATATATATATGTATACGTATATCGAGATGTATAATGTTAATGTTTGCAAACGATTGTTTAGGTCCGAATCCGGTATTAAACATTACTTCAATAATCGACTCAACGAACGTGACACTAGAATGGCCAAGACCAGAAGGTAGAATCGAAACCTACGTGATTAGATGGTGGCCAGTTGAAAATAGCCAAGACGTGCGAACGAAAAATGTTACGGAAAGTAACGATGTGTCTAGCATCATTTTCGAAGAAAACGCCGTGCAAAAGGTTTTAGTAGGGGATTTGATGCCAGGCGTTCAATATTCCTTTATCATCTATACGGTGTCTTATGGCTTAGTCAGCGATGTCACCAATTTGACTACCAGGACAAGTACGTTCAGTCACAAACATTATTAAAACGTCTGCGTTTCTCTCTATTGTTTTTCATTCAACTCTATCTACCTTTGTATTATACCCGCACTTAACTACTTACTAATGACACGCTTAAAATATCGTCGCTAATAATTATTAATTAGGTGTTTTTCGTGTCGCGGAATTGTTTGCAAGTTTGTGATTCTAACCAGTTATTATTTATATTGTTTCGATAGATCGCTTAGATCTGCTCAGTCAGTTTCTTTCACTTTAACAAATTAACAAAAATCGTTTTATTAGTAAATTTTTCTTGTTCCTTTTGAACATTTCACCCTAACCCTAACCGCGATTCAGATATAACATACTTACGAACAAACAAGTCGGATACGGACAGAGAGAAACGTGATTAAGTTTAATTGAAAGGAAAAGCTCGATCCAACCAACGCAAGTTTGTCAAATCCAGTGCCACTGATCCAATCGGAAGTCGTTGTGGTGGTCGATCGTGATCAACCTGATTCCTTGACGTTGAGGTACACACCGACGCCCATACAGTCGTCGATTTTCGATTTGTATCGGTTCCGGATTAGCGACCAGAACAACACAACGAAAGAGCGACTGCTCGACGACACCGACACTAAGGTGACTTTCACTGGCCTTACACCTGGTAAACTGTACAACGTGACCGTTTGGACTGTCAGCGATGACGTCGAGAGTAGACCTCTACTTAGGCAGGATCGACTTTGTAAGTATTCCGTGCGAATGGAAACCAATGCAACGTATTCCTTCGACACCGTATCGATAAGAGACCTGTCCTCTTTCGAGTGTTTCATTGTCAGACTGCTCTGTCTCTTGAAATAGAACACTAGAGATAGACAAATTAGATTTTCGATAGAGATAATTTGTCGTTAATTTACCGAATGAAATTTAATTTCAGATCCCGAACCAATCACATCTATCCAGACGGTAGATATCAATGACACAAGAATTACTTTAACTTGGGATATTCCACGTGGCCAGTACGATTCTTTCGAAGTCCAATACATAAACGCTGAAGAAAATTACATCCAAAACATTACGTCAACCAATATGATAACCATCTCCGATTTAAAACCTCATAGAAATTACACTTTCACGCTGGTGGTTCGGTCGGGTACGGCCTCCTCCTATCTCAGAGTGTCGAATCCTCTTAGCGCCAGCTTCACTACCAGCGAGTCATATCCTGGCAAGGTAGAAAAGTTTCATCCTACGGACATACAGCCCAGCGACATTAGCTTCGAGTGGTCTTTACCTAGTCAAGAGCAGAATGGCATCATTAGGAAGTATACTATCACGTATGGATTGGAAGTAAGTTTCAGTGTATAGAATGCGTTCCGAATAGAATCAGTAAAATGACAGAAATGTAAATTATTTAGGATTATTAGTGTTATTTCGATTAAGAAATTTCTTAACAAGAACACGTATGTAGCCCTCGTATTGAAAACTGATCGTTAACATTTATGTGATTATGATTCATGGATCCGCCGCAGCTTGTTTCAAATATGCTGCACAGAAATAGAACCTTTGACTAGGAAAAGAAAATTATAGATGGCTAGGATTACTAAAATCCACCTAAGAAATGTATAAATGTTCAGAGTTAGAAAGAGTGCATCATTAAATAGGGAAACGAATGAATAAACGAAAGAGTATTAGATTAATGTATATGTAAATCCATAAATAAGCAAAGTTTTATGAGATTGACACGTTATTTGTTTATGGCGTCGTTAGGGTTCGGCTCACACACAAATGCAAGACTTCAGACCAAACGAGTACCGCGGCGTCATCAAGTCTCTTATACCTGGAAAGACGTACATCTTTCGAATTCAAGCTCAAACGAAAATCGGTTTCGGACCTGAAGCAATCTGGAAACAGAAAATGCCAATTCTGGCACCACCTAAGCCACCGACTCAAGTAGTGCCGACGGAGGTTTGCAGAAGCAGTACGACTATTCAAATACGCTTCAGGAAAAATTACTTCACCGAACAGAATGGCGCTGTGACGTCTTACACGATCATTGTAGCAGAGGATGATAGTAAAAATGCATCTGGTCTGGAAATGCCCAGCTGGAGAGATGTTCAAGCTTATAGTATCTGGCCTCCGTATCAGGTAAAGGATACATACAATTATACATACAATTCATGTATGTGTCGTTTCGTTTCGCGAGCGGATGTAGAAGACTCGCGCACCTCGGCGTTGCCTCGCTTGTTTCGCGGGTGTCGGACTGCCGAGCGATCCGACGCCGACGGATTGACTCCGGTACGATTCATTCTCGCTTGTCATTTCTCAAGTAACAACCGTTCTCTTTGAATGCCAAATGATTTCTGCCGCCGAATGATCTCAAGCCATCGAGGAACTTCTATTCCCCTCTGCCCCACTCCGTGGTGGGCTTATCCTACCGGAGTCACTCCATTCACGTCGTGCACACATCATGAAAGAGGACCGACTCTGATTATCGCGACCGTCCAAAAGTATCGGTAGCGCGTAAACGAAACCAATTATGTGTCGTCGCGGCAGATCGAGTGATTCGAGTGTCGCACGTGCGATCACTCGGCATCCGAGATTCGAGACCTCCGGGCTTACACAATGTAACGCTTACTGCTAAGCGTTCAAATCTACGACATATGTATGTAAAATGAAATTGAGCAATGCTGCTAATGCTTAAACACACACACACACACACAAAAGTATCTTGTATGCATCGATAGAATGTTTTATCCTATACACATACATACGAGTATGTACATCATATTTATCACGATTCTGTCAACTTTGCTTGCAACATTCTAGCGTTAAATAAAAAATAATTCAACGATTAAGAACGTTAACGGTAACATATTAATCGTTTCATCGAGCATTGTAGTAGTCGGATAAAAAATTGTTAGCAAACACCTTTTTTTTAAGCACGCGCGCTGTAGTTTGGTTGACATTCTTCGATCGCAGTACGAGCGAGCAAATGCGTCAGCGGCACACGAACGATATCGCAATAGAGATGTAAAATAATTGATGCAGCGAATTATATACCGAGCGACTGCTCGTTAACTTGCAAGATCACGAACGAGTCACGCAAACAGCGAAGAAATACCTGCACTCGGGTGTGTACCATGCATAAACAATCGTATTCCCACAATTGTTGCATTACGTGTACTCTGGAGACACTAGTTAATCGAATAGTCCGCTAGTTTTACGCTCTATCAAAATAATGTAAAAATGTAATCTCAGTCTCAGTCTCAGTCTGTCTGAATAATAGTTTTTATGTAAGTGGACCATGAATGTTATACAGGATATGATTTCAAAAGCTGACAAATTATTTACGCAGGTGATGTATCAAATTACTATCTGTTGCCAATTCGAATTCTTTTAATTCGATCGGACGGAACATAGCTACGATCGAGTTTAACGGTACAAATGAATATTTAACAAAACATTGAAAATCATCGATGAACCAATGAACGGGACTTTTATGCGATGATAGGGGATTTAATAATTTATACAACATTTCCTTTACAGGTAATGGAACCTTACTATCCGTTCAGAAATGGATCAGTGGAGGATTTCACGATCGGTAGCGAAAATTGCGACAATAAAAGTGGATACTGCAATGGACCACTCAAATCTGGATCCACTTACAGAGTCAAAGTACGAGCGTTTACCGCCCCGGATAAATTTACGGACACTAGTTATAGTTTTCCAATTCAAACAGGTGAGAACGATCGTTGTGAAATTACTTAGATTGGATCTTTTTTTAAAAAGTTTCCTTTTTTATTCGCATTTTACTCGGTCTCGTTTTGGGCTCAATTCAAAATAGTATCTACGAATCCACTTTTTATTTTTATTCCAACAAAGGTAGAATAATCTTGTTGTGCCCATCGTTACAATAAGCTTGCTAATTCATGCTTCGTTATTTCGTGTACATGTCTGCTCAAGGATTGCTGCTGGCAGGTAAGATAATAAATTTCGATATCGAACAGGTCTACGTTACGAATTATTAATTTGGGTAAATTGCAAAATTTTAATTATGCCACCGACTAAATATTATACAATTCATTCGTTTGGTTTTCTTACAAATACATATATACAATACATACACGTATATGTATTTATACGTGTGTTGTGTTCCCTCGGCATGTAACCGCGAAACACTAGTTTTGTAGGGAATTTCAAGTGTTGAATAAATAACCGACCACCCGTTTTATATTTAAAACAACTTGTTTTCGTAAAGATAAGGACAACACGGCCATCATTGTTGGAGTGACGGTACCAATAGTGCTTCTGCTGAGTTTACTGGGTATTGGACTGTTAGTGAGAAGAAGAAGAAGTCAAAGTCGCAAGACAACTGAACCACGAACAACCGATAACTTGTCGTTACCGGACAGCGTTATCGATACTAGGTAGATAGAATGCTAGATAAAATTCAAGTTGGGTTCAAATGTAGTTTCGATACATAAAAGGCAAAGTTTACGAGATTTCGAAACAATCGTTTTCAGTCGACCAATCAAGATCGAGGACTTTGCCGAGCATTACCGCACAATGTCAGCGGATTCTGATTTCCGTTTCTCGGAAGAATTTGAAGAACTTAAACATGTTGGAAGAGATCAACCTTGCACTGCGGCAGATTTGCCATGTAACAGGCCGAAGAATCGTTTCACCAATATTTTGCCCTACGACCACAGCAGATTTAAACTTCAACCTGTGGACGACGAAGAAGGTTCCGATTACATCAATGCCAATTATGTTCCTGTACGTTTCAATATTTACCTCTAGCCACCTGTACAATATTGGTCAATTTAAATAGTCAACGATAGTTAATAATATAATAATAACGATAATATAAATTATAAAATATCCGATATATGTAGAATAGATAGTTGAATGTCTCAAAGGTTGATGTATCTTTTGTGACAGGGTCACAATTCTCCGCGAGAATTCATTGTTACGCAAGGACCCTTGCATTCGACGCGCGATGATTTTTGGAGGACAGTTTGGGAGAGTAACAGTAGAGCGATTGTAATGTTAACGAGGTGTATTGAAAAGGGTCGAGAAAAATGTGACCATTATTGGCCAATAGATACTCTACCCGTCTATTATGGCGATATTTGTGTCACGATATTGAACGAAACGCATTATCCTGACTGGAGTATTACGGAGTTTATGTTATGCAGAGTAAGTAGTTTACATCACTCATTTATGTTATTTGGTAAAACGATCATTAAATATACTGTAACGAGTAGAAAAGATATCAAGGAGTGGGAGAGGAGGATATCATCCACGAATAATCACGAACAAGCAATCATTTTTCATTTCTTCCAACAGGGAGATGTTAAAAGAGTTATTCAGCACTTTCATTTTACGACATGGCCTGATTTTGGTGTTCCAAGTCCACCTCAAACATTAGCTAGATTCGTACGAGCTTTTCGAGAAAGAGTTCGGCCTGATCAGAGGCCGATAGTTGTACATTGCAGTGCCGGGGTTGGTCGCAGTGGTACGTTCATCACATTGGACAGAATACTCCAACAAATCTTGGTATCCAAATACGTGGATATCTTCGGGATAGTTTGGGCGATGAGGAGGGAACGCGTTTGGATGGTCCAAACGGAACAACAATATATATGTATACATCAATGTCTTTTGGCAGTTTTGGAGGGTCAAGATATGACTGGACCACCTCGAGAGATTCACGACAATCAAGGATTCGAAGGTGAGTTTTGTTTCTCCTAGTGATTCGAAACAACCGTTAGAACCTCCTTCGCTTCGAAAGAGAACTCGGAACGAGTGAAACTATCGTATAATATTCGAGTTTCTCCTTTATCGTGTACGTAAGTTTGTACAAATTTCAGATGAGATAAGTATATAGACATTCTTATACGTATACATGTATGTAGGTACATTTCAAACGCGTGTCTTTGTAAACTTATTCCTTTATAATATTTCAAATTATTACAATTACATTCGGAAATAATGTACCGTGCTCGGAGTCGGAGCAGAACTTTTTTCTGGCTAAATTAAAAAAATAACATTATTCGATGAATTATGAATCTCGGTGTCCGGTAAAAAAAGTTTGGTGATGGTGATGGTGATGGTGATGGTGGTGGTGGTGATGGTCGTGATGATGATGATGATGGTAGTAGTATGGTAGTATTACGTTAAGAAAGGGCACATTTGGTTTGGGTCCCATTGCAAAAGTATTGCTTTGGTAAATTGTGTCACATCCGTATGTAGCAATCACTTCCCTTCTGCAACCTTGTACTCCCTTTGAATCCAGGCAAGAATCGAAGCTCGGTTGAAAACACAAAGAGCCCTGCTGAAGATGAAAAGGAAAGGTGACCTTCGAACTGCGAATCCTGCGTCGATGGTAATTTCGATCCTGGCTTTTATTCTCTTTCACCAACTATTTTTAGTGTTTTGCACGTGACAACTACTACTACTAATATAACGCATTCAGCATGGAATATGGAATACCATACTAACATAATTAACATACATACATTTATGTAAATTATATATTTTTTAACTAAACGAATGATTTATGTGGAATACATGAATCGTAATCGATAAGACAAAACAAATTTTACAATGCATATACATACCCTAGTATCGTGTAATGTTCTCTTATTACTATTACAAATACATATGTATATCGCAGCTGAAACATAGTTATCGCTTACAAACTTGTTTTTTCCCTTCTTTTTCTTCTTCTTCTTCTTCTTCTTCTTCTTTTTCTTTTCTTTCTTTCTTTTTTCTTTTTTTTTTTTTTTTAACAAATAGCAAAAAAGTTAATTACTTGTTCGTATGTCTTTGATTACTGTACATAATGCACAAGAACGCATTGCTGATAATTTATCACCAACTTTATCACTATGTTCTATATTTCTTTTGATGTGCGAAGCATGAATCCTTCTACACGCACTCGATAATATTTCGATGGACTTGTATAATTTCGGTAACGAAGCATGAGCTTAATCTAATTTACGCATATCGACAATGTTTCCTTAATCTCGAATTTCTACTTACGTATAATATGTCGTTGTACATTTTTTTTTCTTCAGACGACGAAGGAATAGCAGAATCGGGGATGTGATGTTCCAATACCTCGTTGCATTCAGGGATCAACGAACACGAGGAATTGTTAGCGATATTTGGAAAAGGTGCAGTGCGCCGACAAGAATAGTACTACGATGATACATTTGCACGATCAAAATATCGAAAGTGAAGATTGAAACAAAGTAGAGAAGAAATACATCCACGAAAGTGTTCGGTTTTATGAAAACAGTTTGTTTCAGAGAGAGAAAGAGAGAGAGAGAGAGAGAGAGAGAGAGAGAGAGACCCAGACCTAACCGAATTTTTCATCGATTACAATTTATGATAATTGTGCCGGTGCGTCTATTAAAACGAACGACAAAACTGTGTAGTTAGATTTTCCATAAAGAATATTATACATAAGTGATATGACTTTAATTCCCTTTTATAACGATTCGTTAAGTGGCGTGTCATCCGTATGATTCGCGACAGCATAAAACACACACAAATAAACGTAAACAAAAAACTATTTAAACAAATAAAGTAGAAATTTGTCAAAGTTTCGTCGACTAAATATTCCGAATAAGTGTTCAAGATTGTTTCGAGAAATGTACGGATGGTAAATTTGTCGACAATAACTTAATCCTGTTGGAGTTACGCGGTGGAAATACTGCACCGAATGAAAGAAACGAACGGTTACTGCATCCAACTCGAAGTGAAATTTAACAACAAGAAGACACGAAAAAAAAGAAGAAAAATTCTATTTCTATGTTTTTTACAATAGGTAGTAGGTACACGTATTTGAATCGTATTCCATACATCATCGTTCAAGGAATCTACGTGCAACGGAAAAAGCATCGAAAGTTTTTCCGACGAAAAGAGATAAACTTCCGAGAAAAACTTAAAAAAAGAAACGAACAAAGGCATTAAATGTTGTTACGAAGAACGACAACGAAATTCTGCCAGAATATCGACAACGCGCATCGAGGTGAAATTCAACGCGACGAAATAAATTCGAAGAGAAGCGTGAACTTTTAAATTGTTTGGATTGAAATCAATCGATTGTTGTTCTCGAATTTATAGGATAGACGTATTTTCTAGATATAAAAAACAAAAAAATCAACGAAATAACGGAAAGACATGGAAAAACATGGAGAATTTTGTTTAAACTTTCACTGGTTATTTACATATCGAAAAAACACGTTGTTGTATGAGAGAACCAAGTTGTAAAGTAGCGTTGCAAATACTTTTCGTAGAACGTTACTGTGACAGGGTTTTCAGGATGGAAACAGAAATCTCTGCTAGATAAATGATTTTTATTTCGACCGACTCGCTGAAAATCCACCCGCCGCGCCGTTGACGACGCTCTGTGTAACAGTTGGACAAAAAGGGCGGCGGCAATGGTTGTGTGTCACCAAAAGAGCGCTGATCGGCGAATCCTTCTACAAACAAAGTTTCAATCAAAGTAATGCCATCTCTGCCCGACTACTGGCTACGATCGGCAAGCGACAATGGCTGTGTTGTGACGCGTGTCGCCAAAAGGCTGCCGACCAGCCAATTCTTACATTACATGTGTCTGGACTTTGTTGCATGACATTGCGTATATATTTATGAATCGCCATGTCGACCATTTCGAACAAATTTTACCAATTTTCGGACGTTCACGTAGATGATACGTTGAAGGAATTAGCGACACTTTGATCTTGAAGTTTCATCAAATGTTTCTATCTCGACAACTTTTCGTTGTTGGCACGATATACCTAATCGTGATGTAGTCAAGTCCAGGTTTCATATCTTAAAAAATGTAAGATGAGCTGATCTTGCATTGGGTTGCCACATTTCGATCGATACATACATAGATACATTTACAAATAACGCTAGGTTTGTAACAAATCGAAATTCTTAAATGCAACAGAGACCATAAAAATAAAGAAACACAATTCAGATCTACAGGAACTTTGTTATTTATTTGTTGTTTTATTTTCATAAAGTTACATCAACGTCTTTTACAAATACATATCTTTTTTGTTAATTATGGTAGTATTATGCGTCATCGATTTGTTGTGAATCTGATGGAAACTAAATCGACAGACACCATCGGTAATCGAACAACTGTCGCGAGTGGCAACCATCCGTCCAAAGGCTGTAGTAGAGACGCCAATCCAATTAAATGTTGTAAGCCTACATTACCTAGAATGAGAAAACAAAGGAAGGACGAAAATGAGATACATGATTTCCGTCGACCCTCCTTTGTCATGATAAGAGAAACGTGTCAGTGGGAACAAGAAACTCGCATCTTCGTAGAAGCCATATCACTTTGCATGAGAATCACTCGACGATTCGTATTACTTGTACGTATTCACTTATCCGTATTCGCAATCGGAACGAAGCGACGATTGCGAAATTGTCTAAGAGATTGATTCGTTTAGGTCGGTTGTTTTTTACCGTACTCGTTCACGCTTACCACTACCCAAATTCTAACTAAGCGATACTCGCGTGGAAGTCACGATTAAATAGATAAGTGAAACGACGAACAATATTTTTCCAACGTAACCGTTTACACGAACAGGGTTTTCGACAGCTTTGGATACTATTCTCGATCTACATACTTGTATACATAGATATATGTACAATTCATAGACAATTGATGATTAAGTTTAACGAAGCATGTAAATTTCATTCGTACGATACAGCATTTATACAGTATCAAAGGGGAAAATATTCCAGAGAAAAAGAATATTACGATGAAAATCATTAAAAGGATTTCTAGTCTGCTGAAATTTTAATGATAATTGAATACAGAAAAATGTTTATCCCGATATTCTTGTTGTTTTCTTTTTTTACTCGCCAAAAAAAGAAACCTATCGAAATCATACTTGAACAGATTTTACTCTGAGACCAATGTTTATCTGTCATTTAACATTTTGTACGACAGTTGTTAGGGTGAGTCGAAAGCTGAAAGGTTCACGATCGTCACCCCAATACACGTCGTTAAAGTCAAATTTTCTCCACGATATACATATATATATACTATGTACTTAATTTTATATTGACTGGCGTGACAAATGCGTGGGAAAATTTTTAGGCGTTTATGAATGACAGGGAAACCGATTACTTTTACGATCAGCAGGGTCAAACGAATTCTCTTCATCGAGTTTCCTGGGAGACAGAAAAAACCTCGGAGGAGTATGATATTACCTACATAATGTATTTTTGGAGAAATGTTTGTATATCGCTTAAGTATATCCAATTCAACGACTCGCGAACGACTTTTTAATGTTCGTATTTACCGCGAGAACTCGATGTACTTGTTGTACTTGGTATTAGACAGAGATGGGCAGAATTTAATTAACTAAACGTGAAATTTGTTTAAACTTTATTTTAATTTTTGAGAAAATTACTTTTGTAAGAAATGGTCCTGAAATCTGTTTAAATATATAAACACACAAATGTACACTCTCTTTTAAACTTTCAAACACATACGCGTGTTTGGCAGGGTTGCCGATCAATTTTGTGTTTTGGCCGGTATAAGTAAAAGGCGCCTTGCATCGATTGCACCTATTGTTCGGGATACGAGTAAAGTTATTATAAAAGGAATGTGCCAATGTCTATTACGATTCATAGTTTCTTTGACAAATCTGATGGATTCGAAATTGTTGAACTTTTCGAAATTTCTTATTTAAGGGATTATTTTGCCCATCTCGAGAACGTCCGCCGTATGCAATATTTTGGTCGATCCGTTGATAGGCCGTTGGCACCGTGAAAGATATTTCGTACTAGTTTTAGTACTGATGAATGGCTTCAGCTTAAACGTATAACATCATTCATCGAATAAAACGTGCTAAGGATTAATCTATACATATACATATACATACACATACAAAATACATAACTGATATTGCTATCATCATCGAATATTTTTTATAACGCTTCACGGTGATTCGTATGGACGATATACCATACATACACCTATGTATAAAATAACGGAATTGCCAATCGATTGCTAAATGCGATAAGGTAATATAATATTATCAAAGGTTCAGAAATCCTTAATGATATTCCCGATGTATCTTCTTCTAATAGTTTTTCATTGTTCTAGATATTATAAAAGATTGCAAGCATAGTCGTTTCCGTACTAGCCACAATGGATCGACAAAGAATTGCCCGGTATTATTGCAGTTCCCGTAACATCGAATTTCTCTACCCTATATTAAGCTATAGATGTGTGTGTATATACTCTTCAATGTGAATTACCGATATTTCAGGTGTAGCAAAAATTATGACATAGCCAAGTCATGAAATATACATTTAATTCGTTTTTTGTTTCTACGATTAATTAGCCGTACAGACAAAGACAAAAATGTCAAGAAAATTCAGTTAATTCTTCTAATGTATCGTTAGATCATTGATAAATATTTCTTTTTCACCATTTCGCCTATGCAACAGATCATGCATTTAGCGATTCTTACGATTCTCGTATGAATATTCAAATGATCGTTGTTGATTTAAAACGACCATTTCATGAGAGTATCTGCTCAGTCTCAGATTATCGATACGTCTACAATATAACGGACAAGTAATTAAGGAATTTGGATCATAGTCGTACCGATCATGATTGCGTCAGCGTGATACAACTTGATATACATACATATACGAGTATGTATGTAAGATCGATCTGTACGGTTAAAAACCTAACAAATGAGTTACTTACTACGCTAAATACACGTATCAATAAATCGACATGAATAGTTGTAGAAAAAATCCGAACAACATGTACACAGAATTTGACAAGAGACATTTATTTATCGTGTGATGTACCAAGCACGGGAGATATGCGATATAACGTAAAAGTTGTGCTTCTGTTATATTAGTAGGTATAATAAATACGTTACACTGTGATACATCGCTATTCTTGAATGAGGATGCAAAATTCAATGGACGCATGTTTCAAAGGTCTTTGGTACATGGGAATGATTAATTAATTTCCATGAATTATCGGCTCGTGCCAATCGTTTTTACTCGATTAATTAAACAGAGATAAGCGATGTAAATGTAAGAATGATATTGTTGTACGCTAAACTAATTGTAAGGGAAAAAACGCTTGATATCGGGCGACGTTGTACATAGTATAGGATATTTTGAATGGAAAGAACTGTACGTATTATATATATATATATATATTTTTTTTTTTTAAACGGCGCGCTTGAATCGTCGATGTTAATAATCGTTGCGAAGCGTGCTAGATGACAATGCATCCGATGATCTTGAAAATATCGAACACGGAAGGAAATTGTGAAAGTATTTGATATAAAAGTGAAATAGCGCTTTTGTATGCTTTTGTACGCATTACGAACGTAAGAACAAATATACTCTACCTTAATCGCATTAGAATCGATTAATAAATCAACAAATATGTTCTATACTCGAAAAATTGCATCGAGAAATATCGAAAGATAACGGTCGATGAAATGCCAAGTATCGACTTTCCACCCGGATTGCCTACATCTGTCTAGGTTTCTTTAGAGTGTGACACAATGTTAATTTAACGTTTATTTTTCAGTGTATCACTTATTGTGAAAATGTATCGCCCGTTGAAAAATTTGATAGCTCTTTCGAGGTATACAATTATAATATAAATTTCAATTTATTTGGACAAAGTGGCATGGTGGAAAATGTCCGATTTCTCCTTAGAGAAGGTTCGCTCGGTTTCAATCTGTATTGTTCGGGACGAACACTAATGCTGACAATGAGGTTTGCGTGCGCGAGGAAATTATGTATACCGTTCAAGATTAGCATTTTCTTTGTAAATACTTACTTTTATACAAACTGCGACGACAACTGTTATACATGTCGGCCTGTTGGTATGGTTTTGCGAATTAAGGAACCAACAGTGAATAATATTCGTCACGATTCATACGACCATTTGTACAACTTCTGTTGTAATATGTAATACGTAATTTGTTAGTACCCATGTACGTATCCGAACAATTGTACAGCGCAGCGCGCAGAGCACCAAGAGACACAGGTTGTCTCGCAAAAAAATAGGAAAAGGAACAAGACGAAATATGCGTGGATAATGACGATGGTTCTTCCAATAAAAATTGAATGTCATATTAGCATTATTCACGAATGTACAAAATTTCCAGTTTAATAATCACCAATAAAGAGTTGTCCAAAACTGGCATCAGAATTATAATTTTTAATATACAAAATATTTTAAATATTACATATTTAATTTAAATTTTAAATATTTTAAACAAAATGTTAAAGCCACTTTTGGAAAATCGTAGTTTATATTCGTAGTATCGATTGATTTTTCACAGCGATCGAATAAATGATATTTATTTATCGTTTTCAATTGTTCTACGCACATATAAATTCCGAGTATTCCTTTGCACAATATCGATTTTTCTTACTTTGCGTAACGTATCTGGAATGGAAACCAAATCTTCTGCCAATAGAAATAGAGTGTAGGCACCGTACGCGTACGGTATAAACGATAGATTAAAATTGCTAATGTGTCGGTAAACGTAGATTACTTTTCGTGAAAGGGTAGCTTGCTTGTTAACAACGTGTTAAATGGAATATTCGAAAGTTGTTAATTTCTCCAAGGATTCTCTGTCCCGCGACGGAGGCGATGAAGGAGACTTTGACGAAGACAGATTACAGGTCCTCGAATTTAATGGCACCTTTGGAGGTAACGAGCTCATTTTGCCACGGGTCTTTATGTTCGGCTCGACTGTCGAGTTTCCACTGTGAGGGCGTCCTGAGCATCACAAATATAAACATCAATTGAATTTACACGACTGTCTACACACATGTATGTACAATTTGTGAAAATAAATAAAGATAGTCGTATAATTGTTTCTCTATTTTTGTTCTTGTAAGCATCAAAGGTATGCACTATATGTATGTGTATCGATAATGGATTACCACTTTTATCAAAAGAATACGTATATCGTGTACAATATACGTGTATGATATCTTTATTCATAAGTGAATAAACGTTTTGGTCTTTGTTACTTTCCTCTCAACTGGTTTAGCATTCTCGAGAAAATGCCAGGTGTATTATCTTCGGCTAGCTTTTTCTCGACATTGTTTTCATTGCTGGGTTGTCGACGCAATATATGACTCAGAGATCCTGCTCGAGAATGGAACAGTTTCTTCGGCGAGCCATCTTTATCCACCAATTTTAGCATTCTGCCCAACGAGTTACTTTTCTCTCTATCCTTTTTCATGCTTTCGTCGTCGTAATTTTTCATTGATTTTCTCACACTCTAACGTAAAAATATATCATTTACTCGAAAATGTATACATGTTTGCAAGGGGTACAGTTACAATTTAATAGATATTGAAAAATTTCTGAAAATAATGGAAATAGAGCGGTACGCCGCCGCAAATGCTGTTTCGATCAAGTCGTTCGCTCAAGGAAATAACGATAAAACAATCTCTATTTCCAGTGTTGAATCGCTTACCGTACCGCCATCCACGTTTAGGGATGATTTCTCCCCAACGGGTGTCTGTGAGCGCTGCTTAAACATTTTCCCCATTCTGGTGAGTGTCGTAGTCTTCAATTTCCTGGCATCCTCTTTCACCGTCTCAATCCTCGACATCCTCTCTATTAAATCCGGACATTTTTCTTCTTTTTTCAGGCCGGCGAGGTCTTCTTTATTCGATCCCAACACAAACAACATGTAAATTCATGTAACCGCTTTTACCGAGATCGTATGCAGATCTGTTCGCCGTAAACGGAAACACGAATGGTTTCGCGTTTATATCACTCGTACAACAAATTGGTCAGCGAGCTCAGCGTCCGGTAAATTTGGGTTCGAGTTTTCCTTTTTAACGATGCGCGCCATCAAAAGACTCATTTTCATATAGAAATATTTCCAACCAAGTAAGTAATCGATTAAAATGCAGAGATGATCGCTCATCTTGTTAAATATAGACATTTCCATTTTGGATGTAGTACGCGTTACACTACTGACGCAACACGCAACACATTCGAATTAATACGTTCTAACGATGCCATGATTATTCGTTATTTAACGTACGATATTAATTTTAATTTTAATTTTAATTTTAATTTTAATTTTAATTTTAAGCGGTTACGCGGTTACGCGGTAAAATGTAGAAATAGGTAAACATTTTAAAATAGTTATCATCGTAGGATGGACATTGCGAGAAACACAGTACATTGACTAGGTCATTGGTCAATAATAATTTTCAAAGAGTCAGAATACGAATATCCTATATGTACTAATTCTAATTTACGTACTCGGCATAGAAGACAATTCGATTAATCCTGGATCTGGAATACCATCGTGTTCCGATGCAAATTGATTGGTTGAATTGTCAATATCATTGATTGGATTTGCTTCACTCTTGGTCTCCTAAGTTAAAATTTCATGTTGATTTATTTTATATTTTCATTAAATATAATTTTTGAAAAATTCGTAAAAAATGACATCGTTGAAATGCCCACCACGACCGCGCTCACAGGCATATCGTAGACTCACTGAATTTTGTAGTTGAGCTTGACGAACTTGGCGATCCATATTTCTTATCTTCTCTATCCTGGTTATCCGTTAACGAATGAATTCAAGAGTTTCACCATGCGTTTATAATAAACGATAAATTCGATACGAAATAGGGAATTACTTATTTGTACAGAAAATATTTGCTTCTTTTTTTTAGAATGGTTTAGCCCTGAGAATTAAATTGAAAGGAAAATATTGTAACCAACCTTTGAATTATGGTACTCGCCGAGTATCGAGTACTCTAACGGATGCTGAGAAATCGTTGCTTGACGTTAGTCCCTACAAGATGCGCTGTTACCTCGAAACACGATCTTGAACAGAATATGTGCAATCGTTTGAACTTTTCAAGATTGAAAATTTGTACATAGATGTACGTATGTATGTACTTTTCTCTCTAGTTTCTCTGGCTGACGTCGAACGTCAAACGTCGAACGTCGATCATTCCCCGAAGGAAATACTTTTAGAACTTGAACATTTGCCAGCGAAGCGTCGTATCACTTGTTAGCTGCAGTTTCATCAAACATGTACCGAAACTATTTCTACGTAATATGTATAGTTTTGCGACATTCCGATGGGGAAAAATATCAATCGTATCTCGATGCAATCGACGTTCAAGCGTTTTTCTTTTCTCATTCCTAATCAGCAATGGCGGAACGACTGTTTGTTGTTTGAAGAGTTGGTGACACAGATGCCGTTGGAATGTCTAAAGGTTCTCTTCCATGAGATACATACGAGTATAGTGTAAAATTATATGTCGTCGATTTTTAAGCTGACAAAAACTTTTCGAATAGCCAAGTTGAACATTAAAGTTTGTCTGTCGGAGGCATATATATGTATAGAGGGTGTAGATCGTATACATATATGTGTATAATAGGTATCGCGCGCGGTATAGCTGTTTTCGGATAATATATCTAGGACAGTTATGTTTATGATTTCATACGGTCTGTGTTTACATTGTTATACATTGACGAAGGATTTGGGTAAACAATGATGATGTTCGTAGATAAGCCGGTCACTATGCGAACATGCGAACGATACAAGGAGGGAAGATTCATATGGATGTAGTATGGCTCTCGGTTAGAGAGAGCCAGAAAGATGATCCTGAGTCTGAGCTCTCGCCCGAACCGCATACGATCTGGTATCTGGCCTCGGTCTCGGGAGTCCCGAGTCGGGACTCGCACCCCGAGTCTCGGCTCTCGGGTCTCGGGTTCAGTTTTCAGTTGGCGGCCAGGATCCGTCGCGTGCGCTTCGCTATTTACGTTGATTTTCCGCGACCCGCTGCCGCACCGCGCCGTTTCGTTTCGTTTACTAATCGCACACTACTTATGCCGCACCGCTGGCGCCGTTCGAAATCTCGAGTGTTACCACTTTAAACGACAAAATATTCTCCCATCCATGTAAAAACAAATTGTCCTTATTAACTTGATATTTAACGAAATTTTGTAATATCATTCACACGTTTTATATTGGCGTTTACAACGCAGGCTTCAACATTTCTCAAACAGTTTAATTAATTAAAACCGTGTTTTAATGATTTTTGGCTAAACAAAGTGTAACGTCAAGTTACATTAAAAGGTGCAATTGCGATCAATTAATTTCCTACTCGAATGACGATACATCAGTTAAGAAAACTCTTCAGCGTGAGTAATTTTCGTCGGCAAGTATAAAGTTTGATCTCATCCCCAGGATATATAAAGTTACTTTTACATAGTACTTGGGAATAGCTCGCCGTGATCTGGATTTTCAAGATCTGGAAACATATTTAATCATAAACGAAACACATCGGTGGTTTGCAATAAATGCGTGAGCAGCAGCAGCGGCAGTTGGAGAAAGTTTTAACGAACATTTTAAAATGTCACCCATCGCCTGCCGCGTTTCCATTCAAAGAATCGAATAAGATCCAAATCTAGTCCAATTATACAAACGGGAGCTTAGATTTAATATAATACAAATTATAACTAGTTATAATTATTAATTTATTTAAATTATCAGTTATAATACATTCGAATAATTATTATAATTATTTTAATCGTTGCACGTTTAAATAATAATTTGAAAAAAAATTCACTAGAAAGTTAAAGGTAAAATACGTTTTATCTCGCGGAAGACAAGTGTATAGTATAAAAAGGTAGTTTTTAATCATGCTGCACGGTTTAATATGGTCAAATATCATAGTGATCCTATCATGCTGGAATATTTTCTTAAAAAGTGTACAATGTTTGGTTGTTCGTACACTGGTGTGAGGACCAAGATGACGAAACTTGCAACGCTTTTAATGACGAATCACTAGCCATATCGGTGAGTAATCGCCAATCATTTACCATTTCTAGATACATAAACTTGCATTTCGATGACGTAATTGCAACGATATTTCGTTTTAGGTTAATTGATTCCCGTCTGAATATTCAGCGTATAATAATATTTAGCGTTATTTATTAGATTATCTCTGGATATGTATGTATGTATAAATATACGTGTAGTTTGTTTGGAATAGCCAGATAGCCTTTTTCATAAAATAAAAAGAATTATCCATCTATCGTTTTACTGTTATGACCACGAGTATGAGTAGTATTAAACTACGTCGCGTTTCTTGTGCGACAAACTCGTCGCACAATCATGTCATACTTAATCTATGTAGATATATACATACTCACTCGTACGTACATACGTTGGACAGAGTAAATCTTAGCGAAACTGTATTTTCGTGTCGATAAGATTCGATTGGAAATATGTAGACTAGAACTCGACTTGTACTCGCGTGAATTCTCGACTTGATTTGGAACTTGTGTGCCAATACACTGTAGTTTCGAACGTGCAGTTTATAACAAAGTTGAGAATACACTCGGCAACGTTCAAGATTCGTTCTCTTCTATCATCGGTGAAACTGAAACGACAGGACATGATTATAGTTATAAATTTGGAGTAAGTTTCAAAGTAAATAAACTTGTCATCCGTAGCACTTGTCAGATTCACGCGTAATATTTTCAGGAGAATTGGTGCTACTGTATACTGTATATGTAACTCTACTTCGTAGAACTCGAGATTTACGGCTAACCGGTGCGGCGCGGCGCGGCGCGGCGCGGCGAGGCCCGGCGAGGCCCGGCGAGGCCCGGCGCGGCCCGGCAAGGCCCGGCGCGGCCCGGCAATACGATGCCGATGCAGCAAACTATGTATTATCTATACGTATACATATATGTATGTATGTATATGATGTATTCTCGCATCAATGATATTGCTTCGATGAATGTGACTTGTAGACACGAGGCACGAAATTTACGGAATTTAAAACAATTGATTCTACACGATCGTACATCTGCACACATTCCAGTTGGAAACAGTGATTGATATTGTACCGTGTATAGTCGTATTATACATATATGCGTTAAAAATGATACCTGTACCTTACATACGTAACGTGTACTCGGAATAAAAGTGGATACATTTTGCAGGTAAGGCTTCAAATAGTGTACGTACATATGTATATCGCACGATATATTATGTCGAACTTTTATGTTGTTCGCTATATATAAGAAAATGGTGAGTAATAATTTGTCCATTATACCAAAGATAATTTGCCATTTTATCCTGCACACTCAAATGCCGTCGTAACAATCGGAATTGGCAATCGCTATAACTTACCGGTACCTATTAACATCTCCATTAACGCGTGTAATCTTAAGATTTCTAGGAAAGGAACAATTGTGGAAGTAGGTCAGCTCCACAGTACATATAATAAAAGCAAATGTAATAGGTGTACCAAGTAGTTGAAGTAATAGCTACCTCGCTATCTACCGTGGGAGATAGCATTGAAATAATTGAGAAATTAAAGAATATAAATTCACCTTCTTATTTTTCAGATTCTTATGGAAAATTACAATTCCGGATCCTAACGCGCAGAGTGTCATGAAAATGAATTTACAACGTGGACCGTTCAAGAAATGTTCAAACTAATCGTGCGGTACCTACCTACCTGCCAACTTTGTTTTATTCGAACCAGTGTAAAAGATGAAACGCGGAGTGTAACGTAAGCGGACACGATCCAGAATGTTGATTATCGGTTATAATATGCCCAATAATGCAGCGGTACCATTCGACTATTTCGATAACGTTAATATAGATCGATCGTTTGTCAGCGGTGCATCGGCACCTTCAACAATGACTTCTATCGTTGTGAACGTCACTTCACCTACTCTCGCGAAGCCTGGTCAAGACAATCTTCTTGAAAATTTAATCATACCTTTATACGGGACGATATTTTTACTTTCCGTGATTGGCAATTCCTTGGTGCTGATCACGTTGGCACGTAACAAGAGGATGCGGACTGTCACCAACGTTTACCTGTTGAATCTGGTACGTAAACTAGTTTGTTGGCTTCTTTACAAATCTTCCTTGCGTATCTTTTTCTTCTTCTTTTTCTTCTTCTATCGCTGTACAGAGGGGAACCAAGTTTCAACAAGTAAAGTTCAGATTCGCATGCACATTCGGTTCGAAACATTGTACGATATTAATTTTTTGTTTATACATATCTTGGTTGGTTCATAAGAAAATGAAAACTGTCTACACTTGAAATATTAATATTTCGCAAGTTAATATTAGTCATGGTTGAATAATATCTTCGCTATATACGTTTCCGCAGCTGTTCGTAATGTCGTTCATTATCATCATTTGTCATTTTTACGTTATCACGTTTACTTCTGGTTCATCTAAGAAAAATATTTATCATGTTCGCGAATGTCCGTTCTCGCGTAACGTATAACGTTCTGGCTTCTCGTATAACGTTTCGATGCATTTCGGTGCATTTCGGTGTATTTCGGTGCATTTCGGTGCATTTCGGTGCGGTCGAGTTCGAGTTGAAAAGTTAATAGAATATTTATCTATCTCGAAAACGGCTTCTTTTATCTTTAACCACGACCACGCGTTTACCATTAACCTGGTATGACATTCTGTATCGAAAATGTCACACAAGTTTATCCTTTATAATAATTAAATATTTGCCAAAGTATTGTATAATTAAATTAAACCCGATATACGTGACAAGTTTATTTTCAACGGTTTATTTTCAATAACGGTTTTGCTTAACAACAAAGCTTGAAACAAACATGTTTACGATGATGAGTTTTTTTTATAGCGAAAAAAATAGTCTTATAGAGGTTTAAGAATACATGAATAGTTTCGGTATGTGAAAAGTTTTTCGATTACACAGCAGAGGTAGAGCGTTCGGTGTTTGCTCGATGGTTAACCAGCCTGCAAGATGTAACATATACATGTATAACTGTTTGCTACGATTGAACGACGCCGTCGCGACGGTAAATTTTCGTTCAACATGAAAAACTGTACAGCAACGCAACGATGCGTTAACAGATAGTCTGGTACACTCGGCACTGGAATAATCAGAAGGTATTTTATTGATGGATACGTCCGCGTTGCAAGCTGAAAATACTCGATTGTCTTGATAGAGGCATTGACAATTTTATTGAAAAATCTGTCGTTAAATATCCGTGTAGCGGTATGCGTGATGATGATTAAAGTTGAACGACGGTCAATAGAATCATTACAAAGGGGTGTTTGGTACTCTGTAATCGACAAATTGGTATTGGCAAAATTATTTGCCGACACTCGTATTCCCTACATACATGTATATAATTCAACAGTCTCCTTAAATGCACAAGTTTCTCTACGATAAATGGACAGTAACATCTCGATGAGACAATGCTAATGCAACGATCAAACTTTTTTTTATTATTACCGTTTTGGTTGTAAAACTGTTAGAGCATTATATTCCTGACATTTTTTTGATTAAAATGAGACCAAACACGACGTAACAATCGGAAATAATCCCGGTGTTGATCGCCATTGTCCTCTTATTCATTCGCTGTTCTTCTCTAAAACCAAACCCCAAAGTTTGTTGGGAAAACATTCGAAGATGCAGAGTAACGACTGAAGGAGCCATGCAAAATCGGAGACCGAAAACCTTGCACCTCGAGTGCTTTTATGTGTTTACACTTGACTCGAGCCGAGTGCCGAGCGTCGAACGTAGAAAAGAACAGATAGTGAAAGAGACGAGAGGTCAGAAGCGTATATGACTCGGTGAGGACCATATTACACCGGTGGTCGGGGCTACTCGGGCAAAACTACTACAGGCAAAAGAAATATAAATGGCCAGGCAGCGAGGAGGATGGGTATATCCGAGAGACATAGTTTTGGAATTAGAGCTCTGTATCACTTGGGCTGTGACACCCTGTATATGTATATTTGATCGTAATGGTTCCGCGTAAAGTGTAAGCGATAAGCGGTAAATACTGGTTTCCGGTATAGGCATATACACATAACAATCGTACGTGTGGCAGTGGTAGGGTTCATCCACAAACTGTAATAATGTATTTGTGAAACTCGCAATCGGTATCGTTGCTCTGTAACGGTGACAGTCGACAGTATTATTATATGTAAACTACTTTGACCTATGTAGAAATGATAAAATACAGATTTATCCTGTTAACTTTCAGGCAGTTTCGGATTTGCTGCTCGGTGTCTTTTGTATACCTTTCACACTTCTCGGCCAGATACTGAAGAACTTTGTCTTTGGTATTACGTTGTGCAAACTTATACCGTACTTTCAAGGTATGTGTATAGCATGATTAGAAAATGATTGTTTAATTATTTACATTGCATTATTATACACTTTACTTTACTTATTATTATTAACACTTTGTCGATCGCAACCATTTCTATTTGAAACACCATCAGCGTGCTAGCGTATGGCGCATGGCGCACCACGGACATGTGGAGCATGCATTGTGACAAATTATTTGAGACAAAGTTACGGCGAAAAATTGGTTTGCTACACGAAATCCAATAGCTTGGCTATCACGTTTCTGTCTCGATTTTTCTTGCGAGGTTATCTACAAGATAAAGTGCAGTTGTACTCATTTATCTCCGTGGATAGCTGGGAAGAATTAGAGTAAATTGCTGAAACGTAAATAGTGTCTATCTTTAAAAAGCTCGTACAATAACTATGCAAAGTGTTTTGTACGAGGCAGAAATGTAACTTTTATACAAGTTTTAACACTCAAAGTGCTACCTAATTTTCAATCCATCAAAATGACGAGTAATTTTGATTTGCCGGTCACGATTGATATTTCACTTGGATATAAGTTTATTCAATTAATAATTTGCTCACATCTCCAATAAATATTATAATAAAGATGCTCCAGGAGCATTAGCGTTGCTTTCCTACCTATTCTACGGGTAGGCATCGATGAGTAATCAGATGTATGGATCAAGGAATAACATTAAACTGGTTTCAAGTTGTAATTTCTAACACGGTTAATATTTAACATCAAGATTTCGATTGTTTGTCTGTTTCGTTGGTAATTCGGTGTTGAACTTTTCCAGCTGTGTCCGTTTCCGTGGCCGTTTGGACTCTTGTCGCTATTTCTCTGGAACGTTACTTTGCCATCTGCAGACCGCTAAAGTCCAGACGATGGCAAACTCAATTTCATGCTTACAAAATGATCGCCGTGGTCTGGAGTGCGAGTTTAACATGGAACGCGCCAATTCTCGTGGTTTCACGACTTCAAAGTATACGCGGCGGTACGATTACCTACTCTGTATTTATATTATATGTATAATATGTAATATTAATATAGCTAGAATATAATGGAAGGAGTATTTCTTGAATTACTTTAAAGTTGTTTGTTTGTTTGTTTTTTTTTGTTATTGTATTTGATGGGTAAAGTAAGCCTGCTACGGATGGAAAGCTTGATGGGTGTGGTGTGGTGTGGTGTGGTGTGGTGTGGTGGGTATTTTTCGCGGGACACCAGAATGTTCCTCTGCCGTCATGTTCAACAAGTGTTTCTCTGGTGAGATGTTCATCCATTTGGAAACAGAAAAATCCTTCGAAGCAATCCACTTTCTGGTTTACCTCGCCTCGAACCAATCACTGATCATACTTGTAGACACGATGCGAACGTAAACTTTTTACCACACTTGTACTACATACTTGGACCATTGCAATACCTATCAAGTTCCGTCGAATGTAATCTCGATTCCAAGTCGATGAAACGAGTGAAAATCCTGATTGAAAACTCACTAGCTTTCACGGAATCTTAAAGTTTAGTTAACCTGCATTCGCGTTTAAGAATATTTAATTCGATGCAATTCGGACAAGAACTGATCGATATTCGTGTCGGCGCGAGCGGTCCAATAGAGAAAGAGAGAAACGGATTACCATCGGCAATCTGAGAGTTGATGGAGCGATAAAAGAGGAGAGAACAAGCCAGGGATAGGAAGGAAAAGCTTTCGATGAATATTTTACAGGCGCTCGAGGGTCGACGGATTGCTTTACGAGTCGGAAGTAGATATTGATGTAAATCAAATAAAATCAAATCAAATCAATCAAATTTTTCCGTTCAATTCTTACGATACACGATGCTCAAACTTTAAATGGATTTCTCTTGAAACGATATTATGTAGGTAAAGGAAATAATCTGTAATCATTGCTTTTAACATTAATTTTCTTTATATTGTACTATGGATGTCAAGAGCGTATGCCTATTGCCGATCTTATTGGATTTATTTTGATTTGTTTGTTTCAGGACGGCACAAATGTCGAGAAGGGTGGCCGAGCGTCGGTACCGAAAGAGCTTACAATCTCTTCTTGGACGTAACGTTGCTTCTGGTTCCGCTAATAGTAATGAGCCTGGCTTATTCGCTAATTGCTGCGGAACTTTGGCGTGGATTACGACAGGAAATGCGACAGACATCGAGCTGTCCACGACGTCGTAAGTTTCGAGTGCTTTCTGAATATTTACGATTGCTCTTTGCATTTGTTCCTTTAGACTTTAGAGGATTAGAGGAACCGTAATAAACGTGGCTAATCGTGTTGATAGCATATCGACTTGTCGTCTACCCGGTAACCTGGTACATAATCCGGTATGTGGCCTTGTTCGAAACGATACTACGATAACAATGTTCGGTTTAAATCGAAACTCCGGTAGGTATACTATTTATTTGTGTAATCGTGCACCGACGTGCATGGTTACTATAGATATGTAGGTGATAGAGGAATGCAATCCCCCTTTACTTTTACTCCATCAAATTTCGAGGGAAACTGGATGCGATAATCGTGTACAGTAATTCTCGCTTGTTTGCTCTTCTTCTAGAACAGAGGGTAAACCACGGAATCATTATTCTCGCCAGTGTTATTGTTTAATTCAACATGAGCCACCCATAGACTCGAATGGCCCCATCTGAGAGCGATTGTTATTGTGCGCGAGGATCCATTTTCATTCGCTATTGTAAATTACAGTTTTTATACCATACATTATTAGTCGATCGAGTAGTCCCAAACATTTTATTTCTCTACTCGTACATATGTGTATACATTTCGATTATGAGTATCTTTTCATTTCATGTGTTTTTTTTTTATTGAAAGACTGAAATGTAATATTCGCCGGTGAAAATTGTATCCAAGTCTTTTCTCGAGTCTTTCTCTTATGTGTTGTCAAATTTCTTTTTTAAATATTTCAGTCGCAATTTAAAGAAAATCCCACTCTCTACGACGATCACAAGTAATTGTGTCGAGATTCGGTTGGCGTTTTCTTGACAACGATCCGTTTGTCTCCGCTTAATCAGCTCGTGTGACGCTACGCGTAAGCAGTACTTTTCTCGAGTTTATGTAAACGAACGGATCCGTTTCGGTGGCATACCGTATGTACCTATAACGTACATGTGTGCATTGTTTGTACACGCAGACGTAGGTACGCATAGAAGCGAGGATTATCGTATCTACGCACATGTAGTTACGCGCGGATCATTCCAAATGAAATTGAACATTCTGGCATATCTGAATGCCAGGGATTTTTACGGTATCGATATATGTTTGTAATCCAGGTGAAATTAGGAAGATATAAATCACCATTTGGCTCGTGTTGTAATCGTTTCAAAAATACAAACTCTCAAACTTTCTTGTTTGTCATGCTTAAATTATAAACGTTTGCCTTTTCAAATATTTTTAGTCATTTATCAACACAGTGTTCTGCGATTACACGCAAACGCGGTCGATACGATATCCCTACGTTTGTTCCCGTTGAAAATTCAGAGACGAACCCGAAACAAAGATTAGCAGTGAGCCTAGATCTGGACAAATCTGACTGTAACAAGCAACAAATCCGCATTACAGTCGAGAGGACAGAATCCAGTGGAATGGTGCGTAATTTGTCGTACGACAAGAGTGACGGAGGATCAGGTGCAACGGTGGTTCTGAACGCTTGCGATACATCCTCGAGATTAAAACAAGGATTTTCCAGCTCGCGCGGATACTTGCAAGGCGATCCTCGGGAAATAGCATCTACGGTGAGAAAATGAAATCAACTACCAGCTGAGCGCAAGAGTGCGCGACGCGGATATTCGTTTTCAATCATTTACGTACTCGATAAACATTTCATATTTACAAATTATTTTCTAACGATAGTCTTTTAGTAATTTCATTGATCGATCAAGTGTTTCCTTTCGATGTCGGCGCGGCGTCGTCTGGTAGGCATATTTTGAAAATCAACATTTGTTTTTCCTGATAAGGTGCGCATCCCACGAACGAGGTTCTCGAGGGTTCTTAGTGGTAAATTTCAAGCAGCAGACTTTTCGCACGAATCGAGAATACAGATCCGGACAAACGGTAGTAATTGCTCGGCCAGTGATACCAAGGACACGATCAACGAATCACAGCAGGATTCCGGTTGTCCGTTTAGCAGACAACACGCGATACGTAGCAATTACGTGGGCAAAAGTATCGAAGCTAAAAAGAAGGTGAGTACGACGATATACAATAGTAGGATTTTTGTTTGGTTAAATAGGTCACGGAGAATTGTCGATGATCTCGGTGCATATGGATTTCAGGTGATCAGAATGCTGTTTGTCATTGTGCTAGAGTTTTTCATCTGCTGGGCGCCACTGCATGTGATCAATACGTGGTACCTTTTCGCTCCGGAATGGGTTTATTCCGTGGTCGGGAGTACTGGCATTAGCTTTGTGCATCTACTCGCCTACGTTTCCAGTTGTTGCAATCCCATCACGTATTGTTTCATGAACAGAAAGTTTCGCCAGGCGTTTCTTAACCTATTCGACTGTCATCGGTGTTGGAGGTAACCAACACGCCGATTATTATTATTATTATTTCTTGCTTCGCTTTCGATCCGTTGGATCCTGTCCAATCACTTTCAAGCCTTTCGGATCTATCCTGCAATTTATCAACTTATGAATTTATGAATTTACCAGCCGTATCGAATCGAAAGTCGTACTAGCCGATTTCATTTAAAAAATATCAATCAATCACATACGATACCAAACTTATTAAATCTATGCGTCTACCTAATAGAGAACATTTTTGAGATTGATCGTGAAAATTAGTGATTGGCTTTTTTCATATGAATCAGTGAATTTAAATTTCAGAGTAGGATGTAGGAACAGCGATATTGCTATGACATCTGCAAGGAATGCGATACAAGGTGGAAACAATAGCGAACTGAGCGGAAACGAGTCGACGATCGATCTTGGAAAAGCTTCGCTCGTCGCCAGATCCGGTATTACAATTCGTTACAACTATACAAGGAAATCGTTTGTATCATTTTGAATTGAAAGAAATTTCTTTCTGTTTTGTTGCACTTTTGCTGCTTCATGGAACCATTTGCTCCAGTCGTTCGTTGGACAAAAGCGAAATTCATTATAAACTTGGAAATTTCATTGAAACATAACGAAAGCTTAGCCACGCGAGATTGTAAAATAGTTGGAAACACTCTAGGAATCTGTTATTTTCAGAGGTAGTGAGACTCCTGGAGGAGGAGGAGGAGGAGGAGGATCGCGTCTAGTATCATACAAGCAGAACACGTGCTGCAGCGAGAATCAAAGATGAAACGTAATGTTGCTGCAAACTGGTAACAAACAAAATCACTTTGTTTTAAAGATACCTTGGCGTTTGTCCATTTTGGCTACAAACGAGAAACGTCAATGATGCACAGTCTTGCTCATCGAGATCATCCCGCACGGACAATCTCACTTTCCTTTACGACTGATTACGGAAGAATACGAGTATATGTATATCGTTCTTTGTTCGATGGAGAACGCCTAGATACATACATACATAATTTAACGAACAATGTGAAAATACATCCATTCAGACGCGTTGCGTCTTAACAATTTCCGTAGTCGGAGATTTTAGTTAAAGGCTTGGAATTCGTACGGCTAAGGAATAGAAACAAAAGATTTTTTTAAACGAAAGCTTCGTGATTTTTCCGTTTCAAAGTTTCTGGTATTTAGTTCTACCGAAATATTATCGTTTTATTAATGTTAAATGAGAATTTACATAAATTGTCCACTTAGTTGTGAGAAATCCACGAAAGATTCAATTGTCAAGCAGTAGTGAGAAGCTATTAAAAATGTAAAGAGAGTATTTGTTATCGTATAAATCTACAGAGAACAATAAATGTAGAAAAACAGATAAGCGATTAAGATTTCATTCTACACGGTCCCATCTACCTATAATACAATATCGTACGTATTCTTTACTTAAAACATTTCATTAGCTATATACTGATGATTTAAGTAAAAATGGTAAGAGACAAAAGTTTGTTAGACAGAGGGAATAATTGGTGGCCAACCAAGTGTAAAGGTTGTCAACTATCGCATGTGTTGTTCGTTTTGAACCTCGGAACGAAATGATCGATAACGGAGGTATGCTTACAAGTCGTAAGTAGTACCACTATTACTCAAAGCGACTTACTTCTCTCAACTATTATTTAGCAGAACCGATCATAGTAGCTGGTTTTGCATGTTTTGCATGTTTTGCATGTTTTGCAGGTTTTGCTGGTTTTGCTGGTTCTAAACTCATAAAGACTATATACAATAAATGCGGACTAAGCAAGCATCATCTTTCGATACTCGTCTTATTTAAGATACTTTGATACTCTCTTTTTATTGTTGTTTAGCAAACTTTCAAGGTGCAGCGTCAAGAAATATAAACGTCTAGTATGTAAGGTCTCTGGCCGGTATATCTTCGAAGGTATACCAGCAATTAACAAGATTTCATTTCTAGTCTACTCAAGGCTTGTGTATCTATGTATGCGTGTACAAGAACGTTACTCGTAATTACGTAACTTTTCGATTCTGACACAGCACGTAGTCTACAAATTCCATTTAATGTGTAAAACTTTCGACTTGCGCAAAACTTTGTAATTAGCTATTTGTAAAATACGAGACTCGTATAGATGAGCCAGTAAAATTCAAGTTCTTTCGTAGTGATATTTACAATTTGTCGATTTTTTAAAAGAATCCCATTAAACGGTAACTACACCTATGAACTATTATAACATGTAGTTTCAACGTGTAATTAATCGTCCGTTGATTAGAGTACTTGGCATGGCAGTGAATGCCTTTACTTAATTCGTTACCTTTATCCCTGCTGAAAAGAACAGACGTGCCAGAGTTGACGAATACAATTAATTTAATTTTTTACCAGAGAAATTCCGAGTTCGGAGATCTTTTGTTTCCGTTAAAACGTTTCTCATGCAAAGCAGTCATTTTAATCCCAGGACACCGGAACGAACCAAGTTTATCGCTTTAGTCGGCAACACGAAACTCGAGTAAGATAGAATAAAGTGTCGATGTATCTACAGGAATACTAAATACATCGCAATTATTATGCGGAGACAAGAATGTCGAAAAATTCGAAATAAAGCAACTGAAATTATTTATCGTTTCGATTGGTACGAATGATGTTACGGTTTCCTCGATATTGTCACGATAAACCAAATACAAATTATAATAAATTGCAATTTTCTTAGCTCTTTTGGACGATCCAGAGTAAAAATGTCGTTCCTTTAGGAACAGTATAGGTAACGCGTGCAACTTTAGTGGCCGATGCTGCTCAATGCCGACGCCTATAAACGCCTACTACGAAATCTCTCTTTGTCAAGTTTTCGCTGGTAATAATGTTTTTATTGCGTGTACTGGGACAGAAAACAGAGAGCGTGGCCGGTGCCTGTAGCCTGTAGGTCGTCACAATGTGAGCATTCAAGCAAACAACGAGCACAATCGGTTCTACTCTCATTGTCGGATATGAATACCGAAATCAGTCGTGGCACGTAATAGCCGACGTAAATTACAGTAGAAAAGGACGGTTTTTCGTATCGTACAATGAAATTAGAAAATATTTTCAAATATGAACAAATAAAAATAATGTCTGAAAAAAGTTTTATAATTCGCACTTGATAACACACACACACACACACACACACACACACACACACACACACACACA